GCAGAATGGTCCTGGTCTTACTCATTGTTCAAAGCACTGCTGTTGGCTGGCTATCGGGTGCAATTTATGTTCTACTTCTTTTACTGGATCAGACCTGACTTTTTTCTCATCTATCTATAAAAAATATTTTCACACCACAAAAGATACATAGTCCTGCAATAACAAAAACAATCTTGCAAAATAGGAAAGGTTCTAGTTCCTTTTGGTCATACCTGCATGAGAGATTTTCAACTTATTTTTATAACCTGACAGGAGACTGATTATCTCAACAATAAGAAAACTCTGCATCAAAATTTCCAAAGATTCAGCATCACAAAAGAGTGGGCAACCTCAGTACAGCCATGGTCCCACCTGCTTACACCACTGAAATAATGCAGCCCAGCTGATGGGTACAGTGCACTGTGCAATTTCTTAACAAAACCCTCCAACCACGTAGTAACATGTGGACTTCTCCATACATGAACAAATGTGAAAAAACAGAGAACAGTAGCAGACTTGCACAGGCTGACAAGAGCACAGGCCACTCTCCTGCAGCAGTATACCTGGTCAAGTCCATTTATCTCAGCAGCTCCAGTCTCAGCTAACAAGAGAGCTCTTTGACCAACATGAGGTAGCCAGATGTCAAATCATTTAAGATCAGGAATGAAGGTTAACTTGCACGTGCTCCCCAGAGCTATCCCAAGATGGACTACTACAGATACCTTGTCAAAATTATGGCTGAGGAAGAAACTTGCACTCGGGCTCTTCTCCATGACAAAACAGGCCAGTGAGACAAAATCCCTGCTAGTTTTTCCCATTTAAAAACCATCACAATGTAACTGCTATGAAAGATGAGGCTGCACTGCAGTTTGTACGCACTGCGCTGCAGCATGCTGAGCCAGTAACACCAGCGCTGCTGCTGCTGCTTCAGTTACGAACTGCATGGTCTGTGCTAATAGATTCAGAAATGCTAGGCTGCAGCGTGTAGCTATTGCATGCTATATATTACGCATTGCCCTACAAAATACAATGTGGTTATTCAATAGGAGCCAAGTATTTTTCAGATTAAGTATTCTAAACATTGTGCTTACCATGGTTTACCATAGACATTTCTTCTACTGCATGCCTTTGCGCATATCTCACTACAAGACCTTACTGCAGCTCTAAGCCTGATGCTTTCATTATCATTACTAGTTTGAACAGTGGATAAGTATTTTGTTTCTATACACACCCTCTGAAAAAGCATGGATCACAGCATATATACAAGCCAGGAATGAGAAATGCTGCCTCTGTAAAAATATGTGCCCAATACTCATGCCTACTCTAAATCAGAAGAGTGACGTAGCAACCATAGCATGATTTTATCTCCGCATGTAAAATTACTGTTTGTGGTATCACTGAAAGCAAAGCCATAATTAGAACACGGAAACAAAGAGATCTGAGTAGGTCCAGAGGGCATACACAATTCCCTCTGGTAATAAAAGAATTCACACTGCATCCTGTTTGCTTCAAAACCAATAATCAAGTTATGTGAAGGAAGTTAACAAGAGTTGTAGTCTACTTCACTTACTTCATGTAACATTTTATATAAAATGTTGATTTAATAATAAAAAAGGAGGATGAAGATTTGGAATCTTTCTTGTTTCTATGAACAATGGATGATGTGATGAAAGTGTAACAACTCCGGAAGACAAGGGAGAAGGAAGAACAGCAACTTTTACTAGGTGACAAAAAGACCCACCATCTTTTTGAAGATTCTTACCTTATGTCCTTAAAAAGGATTGTTATTGGATTTTACTCTCCTAGTGTTCCTTTCTTACAAAGAATCCATATGCTAGCTTTTATTATTGCAATGCCATTATTGCAATTTTCATTGCTTATTTCCATTTTCCTAAGCTCGTCCCCTTTATTAAATTAATAGAAACCACCTTCTCCTTCTATTTGCATGTGGGAGTTCTAGATCTGGACTTTAAAATACTTTTGGGGAATCAAAACTGAGCAGCAGTCTGAAATGATGGCAAATGTTGAATTAAAGCTCTTACGACTGTTACTGGCCTTTCCGTTTTTCAGGTATTAACATCTTCGCAAAACACTAAGTACAATCTCAAAGATATTACACTTACATTTCAAAAGCAGACAATTCCTGTCCGGTTCCGATTAGTTTATTGTGTTTTCCATCAGCAAAGTGTGAAACATGCTATGTTATAGGTGCTCAAAAATGCTTCACAGAGATTACATTCCCAATATAAATGTAAAACACACTGCTGGCTGAATACAGCATTGCATTCTTTCTTATGCCATTTTCATTAGAAGTTTCCAGACAGTGCTGCAAAGCTTAAAGTTAATTGTTTCCCATGCTTTGCAAGCTTACCTGTTTTAACCTGAATTTTATTCTGTCACATTAATAATGTGAAATTGTTATACTGATAAAAATACCTTACAACAGGACGCAGGCCAGAGACGTTCTCATTAAAACAGAAGAACTGATTCAACATTCATAGCATGATTTAACAGAGACCTTGGAACATTTTGGTGCATTAAAGAAAGCCTGGGTTAGCAAACTTTGCAGAAAAACAATATATTTCCTTCACATTTGGAAACTGCATTTCTGGCCAAAAGCAGCATTGCATTTGAAAAGCTGCATCTTTTGGTTTTATAGCACAGCAATTTTCTCCCCATGAAAACGCACAAAGAAGACCAGTAGTTTGTGAAAGGGTACTCAGGAGGCATTGGGATAGAGACAAGAAAGCGCCTCTGAAAGAGAGGACAAAGTGCGAGATGGAAGATGTTGGACACCAAAACCGAACATGAAACGCTGAAAGTCAGATGCCACTTAAAACTTTCCAGAGCTGAGAACTGTAAACTTAACACTGCAACAAAGCTGAAATTTACGTGTATATCAATGCACATTCATAGAGTACAGCATCTAATTTGGAGGTACTAACATGCTCATGGGACTCTGACAAGCCCAGGGACAGAATCCAGAGGAGAAATACTGTGTTTTGCTATCAGAGATGAGTTTATGCTGGAAAAATTGAGCAAGTGAGGTAACATGTGCAGCAGACCCTCCCCCCTAAAATTATTCAGTATTATTTTCTCTAATTTAAGATGAAACAGAAATACTTTATATAAGATATGCAATGTTTGATTTGCATTATCCTATAATTTCTTGTACACATTAGCTCTTTTAAGAAGGAAAAAAATATTAAACTAGCTTATAACGGTTGGTATATGATCTCCACAGTAGTGATAAAGTCAAACAGACAGCAAAAGTTTCTTTTTAAAAGAAAAACCTGTAGATACACAATGTGGATACGTCCACACATTGTTCCAGTGATTTTAAATGTTATTTTCAATGTGTGAGCAAGGGAGGTGCTGTGGAGTCCCAGGCATGAGTAGAATCCACCTGACAGAAACTCCATTTGGGCAGCAAAGATCTCGCACACATGCAGAATGAGTTACTGCCTCCTGCTGCAAGCACTAGGACTTCACTTGGTAACAGCTCTCAGGAGATTAAGTATAGTCAAACAATACAAAATGTAAAGTGCATCATGAAAAGCGCTGGGAAGCATTTGGGGGAAGTATGATTAAGCATTTGAGACGATTTCCTTGCTTCGCCACTTTTATGCAGGGAATACAACATGAAGCTTTAGAACCTAAATGTGTATTTGCACAAAATACAATCTTTGTTTACTGCAAAGGTTTTCAAAAAGTAGTTATCTGTTAGAATTTTTGTTATGATTATTCTTATTATTTCGGTTTAAATACTATAAATGTACTATAATGTGTATACAGGAAAACCGCTTGAAGATTGGTTTTCAGTTTAATACCTATTACTGCATGTAAATGAAAATCTAAATTAAAAATCTGTTTTGTTTAGTTTTGTCCGTTTTGCCTAGTTTTGTCTGTTCTGCCATAGAGTACGTTTTACATCTCAGCTGAAAAAAGCATACTGCTTTTATACAGCATCTGCTGTTGGGCCATTTGAGATTAATTTGGCAATTTACTTTTGTAAATAACGGATTTATTATCAGTTTTTCTTCACTGATTGGATGTTTTTTAACTCTAGGACCCGACAATTCTCTTTGTGAGAAAAAAAGAATGTTCTTTCATAAAATAATTAAAACCACTAAGGACTTATTTTTAACTAGTAAGAATATTAATTGGGTTCACCATCAAAATGCCATAACGTGTAAAATATCTTGTTTTGCATGTTAATGCTTCGTAATTGCACAGAGCTTTTCAACTTCAAAGCTCTTTACATGAATTAAGTGGATGTCCCTAAAGGCCTTAGGCAAAATTTTCTTTGCCTTCAAGAAAAGATTTGCACCAGACAGAAGCTTTGTGAAAAATGCTGGACTGCGCTTTGTTGTTTTAATCTACCACCATCGCACATGAGATAAGAGCAGTGGGAATAGGGGGGGAACTGAATGGGACTATCCCAGTCCATCTGAAAACTTCACCGTGGCTGTGGCACATTGAGCAAGTAAGCAACAAAATGTGAGATTATTCAGTTTTCCAAAGGCATGTCAACATACCTTTTAATTATTTCTTTATTTCCCCACTAAAGATCAAGCTGCCTGAAAGTCTGATGATTACCTCCTATTGCACCACCCCCCACACAATGCCTTCTCTCAGTCAGGCAGAGAAAAATGCATTTGCTAGAATTCAGTCAAAAGCTGTTATCTGGTACTCCACTTTCCTTTGTCAAATGATTTTTTAAAAGGTACTTGCTAGAAACAGGAAGTTTCCCAAAACCCAGGAGCAATGGTTATTCCCTTAAGTCAGATATAGACCAAAATCTATCATGAATCACCACTCAGTATTTTCAAACTGAACTTTCTTTTCACTGTCTTTTAAACGATGTTACAGATGTGAAACTGCAATAGACGTTTACAACCTATAAGCTAAAGCTTGAATATTTTTTCAGCATCTTTTGCCATAATGACATTTTTTGGTGAGCATAAGATCAACAAGCATTTCTCTTTGTACTTACCATGTGATTTTTATGCCACTTCACTGGACGCAGGGAGTAATACATTGGGTCTTTTTATTGCTCAAGTAGAAAGTGCTCATTACCTATTTATGTTTATATAGAGGAAAAAACAAAGAGTTGTTTCGAGTGGCATACATCACACTGTTGTAGTGGTTGATTTCCTCAGGATGGTCTTCTGGGGTTTTGGTGCGGTTTGTGGAGGCACAGTTGCAGGTCTCGGAGGAGGAAAGCTATTACTGGGACTTATCCCCAACCCTCCATTTTCCAGAGGAAATGGAGGCAGCGGAGGTGGTGGAGGTGGCAGAGGAGGGCACTGGTGCGGCAGCTTTCCCACAACACGGGCAGACTCACTGTGCAAGTGCACCTCCCTGTTTTTAATGTTATACCGAACATCACAGTCGGGGCAATAGCCGTGGTACTGCACTTTTTCACTAAATCGTACCCGTTCCCTTGCTCCCGGCTGAGGACACCGCTCTTTCTCAGGTCTGTGCATCAGAGGCTGCATCACAACTTTCTCCAAATTACTGTTCGGTATACAGCATATATCTCCGTTCGGGGTACGGTTGGGCCCAACTGGCAAGCCCCCGTTTCGCAGCAGGGTACCATTAGTCTTGACAGGGTTGGCCGAAGGAGGCAGCCTCGGAGGCTCGTCACACTTGACGGGTGTCAGTCGCGGCGGAGGCGGGGGCGGATTCGGCTTCCGCAGCACGGTGAGGATAGCGGAGGGGTGCGCAGGCGGCTTGATGAGCGGTGCGCTGCCCCGCACCTTGACTTTCTCCAGGCTGGAAGCTGTTGTGCTGCTGGAGCTGCTATTGAGCGTGTCCGTTTTGGAACTGTCTGTCATCTCATCCTCCAGCTGCAGGTCGGACGTCAGCGTGTCAATCTGGTCAACCACCTGCACAACAGCCAGAGTGAAAACCATGAGAAAAGCTTGCCCCAGTGAAGGCATAGAAAAACGAAAGTGCTCTCCACTATCAGTTTTGTCCTTCCCAGAACTGAAGCATCCAAATTTTTTTAACCATTATTTCTTCTTTTTGCCAGCATAATAAAAAAAAAGTAGTAGTAGTAGTAGTAGTAGTAGTAGTAGTAGTAGTAGTAATAGTAATAGTAATAGTAATAATAACAGTAATAATAATAATATAGTAATAATGGGGATGGCTAGTTTGCTAGCTCATCACCTGAATACAAAAGAAATACAACTTGAAACACTCTGGAATGAAATTCTGTTTCTTTCCCTCTAGGGTTTACTTGGCAATACCATTGTAAGTGAACTGTAGTCTTTCAATATTATGCTTTACCTTCCAGTGCAGGAGGATACTGAATTATTTAACTTTAGCTTCTACACGACAGCTTCTGAATCCAAACCTTCTCCAGAGTATCTTTTAGCTCTGACCTTTCATGCAGTCTAGATTTAAATATGCATCTCTGTATAGCTGATATTATACACCTACACTCGTAAGTTTGGTACAGTCTTTCCTGACAATTTTTTAACATAAATAAGGAACTGAGAAGCAACTTCCCTCTTGTATTAGACTGCATTATCTCCCTTTATGAATATTTGCCTTAAGATCTGAGCTCCTCTGAAGCAATCCTGAAATAGCATTTGGTGCAAGAAAAGAGGGAAAGTGGCTCGGTTTCCAAAGTTACAAGCATTTATTAACTTATGCACTTTATTCCAAGATTTCCTCTACTTCCCATATTTCTGTTTGTAGTTTCCACAATGTTAGATCTTCTTCTAGTCTTCCAGACTCCTTTTTCTTCTCAATTTTTTACAGAACATACAACCGATGGTGCCTTTACTAGGTAGCAAAAATTTGTCATACAACAATTAAAAGCCCTTCCTGAAAACTGCATTTCACTCAGTACCTAGTTGGACAACCGCACTTATAATCTACAGGTAACTACAACACACACCACAGGAAGTAAGCACACATTTAAGAACCGATCTTTATCCTTTACATCCTCACAGGATATACATAAAGTAATCAGTAGCTGAAATGTTACTAGCTAACTTTGGTGCATCAATAAAAAGCTTGTGCCATTGCTTGGGGTCCTTGTGGGAGATCTGTGACATTCTGGAGGGAGAGCTGGAGGCGGCACCCAAGTGTATCTGAAATGAAACTAGATGCCTCCAATTCTGCCACTGAATCAATCCTTCTTACCCTTTTGAGACTTTAATTTCTACTTCCTGCTTTCAATAATTTGGTCCTAATACTATTGATTTCGAAGTAAGCCTATTTTTGAGGAGTATAAGGCATATGTTACCTGCAAAAAAAGTGAAAGTCATTACTGAAGGCAGCGACTCTTTATTCGGTCAAACCAGTAACTCACTTATGTGGCCAGTGGTAAACAGTAAATAATGAAAGCAAAAACACCGTAGAATGAAAGAGCACTTTAGCTTCTGCTGCTCATACTGTAGCTAAGAGTTGTGTAATATAAAATTCATAAAAATTCATATGCAACAATTCAGTTCAGTGCCTTCCTTCTCCTAAAAACAGCAAACATGCAGATAACCATGATTCAGAAAGAGAGCTTTCAAACATTTTTGAAAAAAATTTACAATACTTTTTCTCTCCAAGAGCAAAACAACTACTCATTTGTTCACTATTCAAAGCCCAATACCATGTTGCATTTCAGTTTCTATTTTAGCATTTTGATTTTTCTCCAATAAAGAATAAAGAAAAATTATACCCTTAAAAGACAGACATTAATTCCCCCAAATAATCAAGATTTAAAATATTAGTCTACAAGTTGAAAGGTACAGTTGAACTCTGGTAACTGTCAGATCCCAAACATCTCCTCCAGGGTACAGCATATGACTACTCTTGGAAATTTCAGAATAAAGGCAGATAAACCACATCTGTACCAAGGCAATGCAAAATTCATAACAAGAAAGACAGTTTACAGAGAAAGAACTCACATAATCACCTTTCTTTACATATGCAAACCAAGGCTGAGGAAACTTCTCAAAATGAAACAATGAATCTAAAGGAACAAGGAAAAGACAGTCACTTCCTGGGCACTAAGCCTGAAATTTAAGCACCCTTCTGCAAGTTTAGTATGGATTTGTGTAAATATTAGGGTCTGCCTACATAAGGCTAAACATACTACTGAATCTTCTCCTGGAATCCAGTATGTAATCTTTTAATAAACTATAACAGCTACAGAATGGATTGATGCACCATAAACCAAAGAAACTCCTTGGCAAGCAAAGAAACAAAAAAAGAGCCATTAAACAGCTGCAGGCAAGCGAGAAAGGAAGGACATATCCATAAGGATGCTCAACACAGGAGCAGTGGATAGCTTGTGCAGGTGACAGTACATTGGCCTATTAGTATTAGATAATAGTAAGTGATAACATTTGGTTGCTCCACATTGCTTAATAAGAGCTATATTAAAATGCCAAGAAGAAAAATTGGTTTCTCTTGCAATTGGCTTATTCCAGCAAAACCTAATTTTTCTTTTCCTCTATTTGCTATCATGATAGCCCCCTCAAAAGGTACCTATAATCATTCAGGACCTTAGAAACCAACATCGCACGTGACCGCTGATGTGGTTATTGCACAACTAGCTACGAATAAATCTCACGGAGATTATCCAAATAATATACTAAATCTCCCTTACCTTAATAAAATTCACTCCCAATTTCCAACATCAAATTCCCAATACAGAAGAAAATACAATAACAAAAATGTATTGTAATGTTATTTTAAGACATACATAAAATTCTAATGATTTTATGTATTTTCTCCTGCAGAACCAGTCACAAATGATGGCTTCTTTGCTCTAGGCCTCATGTGCAACAAAGATCGTCCCTGTTCCACACTATAAAATAAAGGTACTCCATGAAATGTAATTCTAGAGAAACAAAACCTAGTGCTTATTATTTTGAGACAGATACATTAAAGGTGATATTCCACTGATGCTGTGAGGATATAGCTGTAATTATGCAGCACACATGTGTCATAAAATGGCGGACCCTGGTGATGAGAAAATTTGCATCCATTCAAACTGTCCTTCTGAATGCAAAAATTTTCTCAAGAGTAACAGGAAAGCCTGTTATGAACTGCCCTTGAATTTAATCGACTACAGAGTTTATCTCTTGCCCTCTGGGCAAATGTGTAGTACACATCAGAGTTTTTTTGTGACCTATCCATTTGTAAAACATAAAACTAGTACAAAATGGCTCTGACATAACAACACAGTTTATCTGTCCTGATTCATTCCCACCACTATTCTGTTTACCGTTATTTTCTTCTGCTTTTTTGTCCCAGAAGGAAAAATTCAAATAAGATTAAAAAGTAACAGAGAACTGGTGACTAACACAGTAAAATTGATGTAGTTAAAAAAAGAAAAGAAAAAAATCAGGTTGAAAAAAATAGCCTCCATTTCACAATGCACTTCCTATGGAAGTAAGAGAGACAATATATAGAAACAAAAAAGCTGCTCTAGTGATGCAGAATATGTCCATTTTTCAGTTCTGGAATAAAACAGGACTTGATTCACACGTACAAGCATGGGGGAGACATCCTTTTTTAGCCTGAGGAGCTCCTTAGCCATCAACTGGATTTGAGCTCTGCAGAGATGCCCACTTCTCCCCCACCAGCAATATCCTGAGGCTTCAAGCTCTGTAGGATCCAGTGTGACATTCTCGAATGAATCAGGACATCAGTGCATTCCTACCGCCTTTCTGGGATGTTACTGGACAACAATATTAGGTGCCCAGCAGGGATGGAGTTGGATTTCTCTAGCTGACCGCAATAAATTAATCAAGGTCTGTTAACACATGTACAGACCCAAAATATTTTATCCTGAAGTCTAAATCGTTCAGCAAGTCAAGTCTTTGCTTATAGCATCACTTTATCCTTAGAAATATGTGTGGAGCTTTTGGATGGGGTTTTTTTGTTGGTTTGTTTCGGTTTTTGTAATTATTTTGACAACAACAAATGGGTATCTTTACCACACAATGAGCAGAAAAAACAATTGCTTGGATAAAGCAAATTTAATGTAGATATTATATTTATCCTTCACCTCCAGTTTACTGATTGAAAACTATTTTGTATTTTCTTGTCCTTTAAATTTTTTATGTACACACTCAAGCCTTTCTTTCCAGTAATGCTCAAACTAGACAGAAGATCAACAACAACAGCATCTGTAAAACATGTACATAAGAATTTATAATCACCATTTAGGACCAGGAATAAGTCGACGTGAATTAAGTCTCATCTCTACCTAAACTCAAAACAGCAGGGGTATGTTTATAAACCAACAGTAGCTAACAGCAATTTACCAAATAAAAAAAAAAAAAGAAATCAACAAAAGTGGAATTAGAATTATGATTCACAATTATTTTGCTTTTTCTTGTTCTTTTAAATTTTTATGTAGACACTCAAGTGTTTCAGTAGATTTGGGAAAAAAATGTTAATTATGAACATTCCAATTAGCAAACAGTCAAGCACTCAAACGCACCAGTGTTCCTAAATCACTTAACTCAGAGGGGCTGACTAACTCACCTAAGCTGCCTCCTTGCTGAGTACCTAACTACAAGAACAGCTTCAATGAAAAAATCAGTGTGGTATGATTGCAGGAAGATCACAGATCTTTGCTAAAGCAAATGAATACTACTGCTGTTGAGTTCTTGCTTGTCAATGCACTTTTTTTAAGACTTTTAAATCAATTTTTTAAACTTTTTTTTTTTTAAATCTCTATTTCAAAAGGTTTTCTCAAGATATCTAAAATAACAACTTGAATATTTGAGTGTAGAAATATGTAACTGAAAAAATGGTAGAAAGTAATCAGGGGTACTTCCCTCATACCAGAAAAATCCAGATCTTTAGAGAATGCCATTGATGCTTGAGATGTTTTACAGACAAACAAAATAATACATTTCTCTCTGCTTCAAAAGCTTTCAAGTTTGGATTA